GCCCTGGCACACACCTTTATGCTAGGGGAGCATGAACTCTGGGGATAAAGGGTGGAATATATTCGTAGGTCTCTGAAAAGTTCCATGCTTTACAGGAGGAATTTTTTTAAAGCCAAGAATCAAAATGAAAACAGCAGCACAACCTTTTTACAAACTGTAAGCCCTACATGAAAAGGGATGAAAGTCAAACCAGAACTGAACTCTGAATAGCTGGGCTGATACATGTCAGGTGAAAGAATTTCCATTTAGTCATCACTGAACCTCAGGAGGTTCTTGCTAGCATGTTTCTGCAGCCTGCTGAGGTCCTTCTGAAAGGCAGCCCTGTAGCACATGGATGGCTTTCCACAATCTGATGTCACTGACAAACTTGATGAGGGTTTGCACCATTCAGTTGTTCAGGTCATTAGTGAAGATCTTTAGCAGTACTGACCCCATCATTACCCCCTGGGAAATAATGCTAGTAAACAGCCACCAGTGGTGCTTGGAATTTGCTGATCACTTTGTTCAAGCCCCTTGGACCTTCTGGTTATCTACTCACTTTGTAGTCCATCTATCCCATTGTATTTCAGCAGTTTGGCTGCACGGATGCTATGGATCACTGTCAAAAAATAGTAGATGCTTCTGCTGCTTTCACCTCATCCAGTGAGGCAGTTGTCTCATCATAGCAAACTCTCAGGTTGGTCAGTCACAGTTTGCCCTTGGTAAATCTATGCTGGCTGTTCCCAGTCATCCTCTTGTTTTTCATGTTGCTGGACATTGCTTCGAGATGGATTTAGTCCTTAATTTTACCATGGGCTGAGGCTAGGCCGACTGGTCTGCACCTGGCTGAATCCCTCTTGCCTTGCTTGTAGATGGCCTTGACACGAGGTATGTGAGTACTGTGGCAAGGTGGCTACCACCTCCTACACCTCAACTCCAGTCTGTGGCTGACGCATGAAAAAAGTGTAAAACATTCAGATATGACAATGTATAACTTTGGAACAGACAAAAAGTTAAAAGAAACCCTAACAGACCGCCTGTCTTTTTAAAATTAATTAGTGACCAGCAGTGTAGGTTTTCTATCCTCTCCATCCTTTAAGGCTGTACCTTCTCAATAAGACATTGTATTAGCTGTGGTCCCCAATTTCAGTGTTTACCTCTGATTAAGATTAATGTTTCAAGGTAAGCACGTACCTTAGTGCTATGCGAAGAGAGGATGGATTTAAGCATAGGATTTAAGGGGAGGAAGGGGCCAACACTGTACCCCAGGCACCCAGCTTAATACTCCAGTGCATCTTTTTATGTGTGCTTTGCCTTCAAATTGAATCTCTGATGCAGACATTCTGTAATAATACTTTGAAGTTATTTGCATCCAGTCTACAGAACCTTTTAGTTCTAGTTTTAAATGAAGGACTCCAGTGGTTTCAGTCCTTGATAAGTAAAGCAGCAGGATTTCACACCAGTCACACCAGGGCTCAGTTACATTTTAGTCACATCAGTGAAGTGATGCATGAAACTGACTGCACTGTAAATCTCGTTGTTGTATGGATGAGGAAATCAACTGCCTCCAGACAGTAAAACAATCCCAAGATGGGGAAAAATGCAAAAAAAAAGCTTTCAGCAGAGAGAGTTGTTCAGAGTAAAATGTGTTCTTCTGTTAGGGGGCTGCAAAACAAGGTCTAAAGCTAATTGCGCAATGGGAACTGTTCTTGGGTGTCAGTGTGATACTACCAGAGCACAGTATATGCTGTTCACAGCAGACATTGTGCACTCACCTTATCCCACCAAGTGCTGGATTTCTGTAGAGCAGAGTCAAAATGAGCCTAGGTGTTTACCTCTAGATGAATTTTTAATGAAAGATGAATTATGTATCTCTTAAGTCCTTTAGTCTTTCCTTTTCTGCTTGCAGTTATTTATTTTCATGCCTTCAGCATCACTAAAATAAGACCTTTCTGCTATTGTGTTTGTCCATTTCAACCTGGACCTGAGATATGGCAAAGTGCATAGAATGCACATCTTAAATGAAAACTCTAGGATTTGGGGCTCCTGAGAACTGCTAATAAGTCGGGATCAGAATGCCTTGAGTATGAAACCAAGGAGAATTAATGCAATATTCCATTGGAAAATTTCCCATATGTTTTTCAAAAATAGTTTATTATAGAAAAATCCACTAAATAAGATGTATTTTGCTACTGGTTGATTTCAGAATTCCTGAAGAATGCATTCAGAAAAAGTGTTGAAAAATAGCTATTTTGAAAAAGCTATTTGAAAATAGCTGATACCATCATACTGCACAGAGAAAAATTATCTTGATTATCTGGTTTTTGTCTCCTATGCTTCAAGCAAGTCAACAGCTCTCCACAGAGCTGGCTAAGCAACAGCCTAAGAGACCTTGCAAAGACTTCTGAAGGTCATCAAAACTAGGCTTTTGAAGGCTAGTGAGCAAAGCCTTCCCTCCAGTGAAAGCCCTTTGCCAGATCACCCCTTGTCATTTAAATTTAGCAGCTTAAGTACTGAAGCTAATATGTATACCATGGTGATGGATATAATATGCTCTCTGCAGGAAGACCCCTCCACCTTGGTCTTTTAAATGCCGGTGCTTTCCCTCTCTGCCAGTCTCATTACAAAGACTCATTTCTGTGTTGATAACACAGCAGTGATAATAGGTATCAGCTTAATGCAGGAAGGAGGACTGTTGAGCCTGAGGGGAAATTTAATCTGTGGTAGAGCAAATTTTGTTCAGTCCTCTGGATATCTCCTGGACACACTTGTCAGTTCCTGTGGCCTGGATCTAGTCCCTCTTTAATGACCAGTTTGTTACTGGAAACCTTGTTTCCTGTGTTACCTCAGCTGAATTAAGGCTAAATTAAGCTTTCGAGCATTTTATTCTAACTCTGTCTGGAGATGCACCATCAGCAAATGGCATCCTAGTCCACTGCCAGCCTGTCCAGATAGGAGCCTGCTCACATGCTGATATCAGTATCCATTCCCCTGGACTGCTGCAGTGTTAGAGTGAGGATGATCTAGGCTTTCCCCTCAAAAAATCTCCTGAATCATGAAGGCAGAATATTTTCTGTCCTTTTCTTCCTTTGGTTAATTTTTCCTTCACATCAGTCAGCTGAAATGAATAGTAGCCAGATACCTCTTTATCAGTAAGCAGAGCTGACGGCAAAGGTCCTGATGAGGATGTTTAGAGGAGGGGGGAACACTTCCCTGCAAGAAGAATTAGCCTGAGAGCCTGCAATGAGAAGGGGTGGCTTTGGAGAATGACAGCAGAGAAGAAAATATCATCTGTTAAAACAAAGAAATCAATATTCTCTGGACTTCTAAGTCCTGGCTGTGGACATTTGGAGTGTATTTTTCTCCCAGTGCATGAGTATACCAGCAGCCCCATTGATTTTGTGCTTATATCAGGAGGATGATCTATGCCTCTTTTGGAGAGATGCTAGCTCTCTGGAGAGAACCACTGGGATTTCATGGTAAGATGTATCACAATTGCTATAAAATCACAATTTATCTGCTAAAGTCCCATTGACTGAGATAACACCTTGCCAGAAAAGTGAAGCTGCTATGATTTTCTATAATGGAATTTGTGACATTTATGTACCCTTGCCTCTTGCATATCTGCCTTGTGAATATCTCTGGGCCAGAATGTAAAGGTGCATGATATTTACAAATCACAGTTTTTTCCAAAATTTACTTTGTGATGTTGACAAGGAGTGAGACACAGAAGATGTGAAGTGTCTTTGATGCAGGTTTTCACATGTTTTGTAGTAAGGCATGAGCATAGGTGCACTCAGGACCAGAGATTGTGTTGAGCTATTAAACATGCCCATGAAAATCTGATATGTTCACAAACACTACACTTTATCTCAGTTCTCATTTGAGCCATACCTATTTTCCTGTTGATGTTTCTATTAGCAAATATTGTTTGGGGTGGGAACTCAACATGAGTTCACATGTCCTCCAGTCCTGAAGGAGTTACTGAGCTTTTGAACACTTAGTGTTTCTGTTGGACAGAATCCTAAAGAAAAAAAGAAAGAAAAAAAGAAGGGAAAAAGAAAGTGGAAAACTTCTATGGAAGTAAAACTCATTAAATTTGTTACTTTTATCTGTGTTACAATTGTGGAAAATGTATTTATGGAAGGGGTTTTGTTATTTTGTTTTAGCTTTACAAGCTGAAGCTTGAAACAGCACTTAAACTCACAATTGATAGTCCATAAGTTATTTTTATGGTTGGCTTTACTACTTGTTTACATGACACATCTCAAAGCGATACCAGGCATTTAAATCAACCAACTACTGGCATTCAGTGGAGCTCATTAGTTTTAATTGTATTTATTTGTATGCCTATTATAGCGGCTTTTACCAGCTGAAATTAATATTGCTTAGATTTCTGCATCTAGAAGAGAGTTATCTAGACTCTATCCATAAATAATGCAGACAGGCAGCTTGAGAAAGCAAGTCGTGCTACCTGTCCTAAATGCCCTTGTGAGGAAGGGATGGATCACTCTCCAGAGATGTTTCTCTACTGACCACAGGAAGAGCCTTGTTTAAAGTGTTTGTCTTTTGTATGCCTGCAGTTAGGCAAAATGACTTATGCCCATAATAACAAAAAAAGAGCTCATCATCTAAGTAAGGCAGGTCTAAGCAGAGGAGACGAGAGTAGCAGAGGTGGAATCTCTTACCCAAGGATCCAACAGATCAGTGACAAAGCAAATAAAATAACCAATCTTCATCTTTCAGGCCAATATTTTGCTGCAGCTCTCTTCCCTTCACCATTATAGTCAGTGTGAGCTCTGCTATGGGAGACAGAGGGAGCAGGATGAGACCCTGGATGGCCACCTGCAATGATTTAAAATTGGTGGGTTTATGTTTATCTGTTTAGAAATCACTGCTACACTTCACATATTTTCTAACCAGTGTCACATCACTTTGTGTTACTGGCTGCCAGGGGAGCGATATAAAACAGAGAAGTGTCCCACTCAGACCTTACTAATGAAACTTCTTTTGCATTACAGTTGACCTGGACAGGTTGAATGATGACGTGAAACGTTACAGCTGCACTCCAAGAAACTACTCTGTCAATTTAAGGGAAGAACTGAAGTTGACAAATGTAGTATTTTTCCCCCGCTGCCTCCTTGTCCAGCGCTGTGGAGGAAACTGTGGCTGTGGGACTTCGAACTGGAAATCCTGCACATGCATGTCAGGGAAAACAGTGAAGAAATATCATGAGGTATTTGCACTCTTTTTCTTTGATACTTCTTTCGGGTATTTATTGCTTATGTGGATTCTGGAGGCTTTTCTCAGAGCTATGTGTGCTGCTTATACTGATTATCGTGTTATATTGATCATGCTGTATCATATTACATTGTTATCAATTATTATGCTATATCATGTTATATTATCATTATGATATTATATTACCATGCTTATATGGATTATCATGTTGGATCTGCAGTGCAAAAGTCAATGGACAAAAATCACTGACTGCAGTGAAGAGTCATAGGCAAAGATTTGAGAGGGACCAGAATGTTTCAGTGAATGCCCCCTGTGGTCACCACGCTTCCTGAGGTGAAGGATCTGCTTAGACTTACAGACAGGTCCAGGTAGCCTAAAAGTGGAGCCTAGATTTAGATAATGACATTACTCTTACTCTCCATGCTAGATACCAGCTTGGTACCTCATGGAGAGGCATTCACACCTTCCACTGCAGTGAGCCATAGAGAGACACACCCTCATGAAGTCAACCTGCAAGAAGGCCTGATTTTAAATAAGTTTAATATTAATGTATTTAATGTCACATTAAAATATATACATAGCAGCACAACTTCAGGATACTTCAGTTCCTCTTTTTTCAGAACTTCTACTATTTTCTTGATGAACTTATGCCTTTGGGATATACTGTGGATACAAAGAATTGCCCAGCGATTTACATTTGGAAGTGGTGATTGGGCAGAGTGGAAGGAGGTTATATTTGTGTTAGAAAGGGGTGTTAACAGGTATTCAGAAGAAGTTGGAGAGAACTTTTGCCACCTCTGTGTGTGGATGCTCCCACAGCATCCTAGTGGACTTTGTTGCAAGAATAAGTCTTACATTGGACTAGTTTTTCCCAGCAAAGGTCTGATACAGTGTGAATGTATACCACTGGAAATATTCTTTTTGGTAACAGAGAAATGTGTTCCTTGAGACATTTGACTGCACTTCCTCTTTTTTCAGTGAAGATGTCTAGGAAGGTTACTTGGTATTTTCCTTTCAATTGCCTGAAAGTACATAGCTGCATACCACGCTGAATTGATTTCTGACACATATAGAGTCATAGAATCATAGAATGGCCTGGGTTGAAAAGGTCCTTAAAGATCATCTAGTTTCAACCCCCCTGCTGCGGGCAGGGTTGCCAACCACTAGAGCAGGCTGCCCAGGGCCCCATCCAGCCTGGTCTTGAATGCCTCCAGGGATGGGGCATCCACAGCTTCTCTGGGCAACCTGTTCCAGTGCTTCACCACCATCACAGTAAAAAAATTATTGATAATGTCTAATCTAAATCTACCCTCTTTCAGCTTAAAACCGTTACCCTGCATCCTATTGCTACGCTCCCTGATAAAGAGTGCCTCCCCATCTCTCCTGTAGCCCCCTTTAAGTACTGGAAGGCTGCTATAAGGTCCCCCCGGAGCCTTCTCTTCTCCAGGCTGAACAACCCCAACTGTCTCAGCCTGTCCTGGTATGGGAAGTGCTCCAGCCCTCTGATCATCTTTGTGGCCCTCCTCTGGACTCACTCTAACAGGTCCATGTCCTTCCTGTGCTGAGGACTCCAGAACTGGACACAGTACTCCAGGTGGGGTCTCATGAGAGCAGAGTAGATGGGGAGAATCACCTCCCTCGACCTTCTGGTCACGCTTCTTTTGAAGCAGCCCAGGACACGGTTGGCTTTCTGGGCTGCTGGCACACCTGATCTACCACTTGACTTAACTCTCAAGTGAAAATTAAGTTTATGGAGTTTAAATCTGGATGTGATGTGTGTGCATACCATAAAGGCATTAACTTGGGAGACCCTAGGGTTGCAATAGCAGAAGACCACTGAAGGTCAGATCTTTGCCTCACTGTGAGCAGTATGGTTACTCTTTTCCAAGGTATGAGATTTTTTTCTCACAATTAACCACAGCATACAGCATACTCCACATCAGCTAGGACTAGAGAATAGTTAATATTTTATCTAATTTTTAAAAAGATGCAGGGGATGACCCTGGTAATTACAGAGCCGAAAGCTTTATCTCAGTGGTAGAAAAGTTAATTGGAAAAAAAATTAATAGGTATAAAACACCTAGATGACTATGAGCTGATATAATGAACTCGGAATGCCTTATGTATGAATAAATATTTATATAGCACCACAGCATTGTACAAGAATGCTAAAAGACTTGGCACCTCCTTCAGAGAGCAGAGAGTTGACCAGGCAAGATCAGACATGGATTAGAAGCTCATTAAGAGATAAAGAGCAAAGAGGTGGAAGAGATGAGCATTTTTCTACATAGGAAGTGGCTATTTGTGGGTGCCCCCAGCACATGGATTAAGTGTTATTTCATGTATGATCAATCTGGAAGGAGGTGAACAGTGAGGTGGAAAAAATGACAGCTAGCACAGGAAATAACATACTTTAACAGCTGAGGAGGCTGCAAGGGATTTTAGAAGGCCTGTGTAACTACTTATAAATGCAGGTTTAGAAAAGCAGCAAACATAAGGACAAATTATCTCAACTATTTATTCATATAACACCGGGTACATGAGGGGAGGAGGGACAAATGAGGGGTGGAAGTTGGAGTAAAGGTCAAGTAGTGAATCACCATGAAGAGCATCAGTGAAACAGTTCTGTAGTGAAGTGTTGATGGAAAAAAGACAAGTGACAGTCTTCTCCAGGAATAAAGGTGAACAGGGAATAACAGAGCAAATATTTATTATGGTCTGGGTAAACTGGTGGGGTACTTATACTGGGTTTTGACCGTTGGTGCTTAGAAGGATACAAGCAGGAGCAGAAAAGATATATAGAAACAGAAAACATGTATCAAGAGAGATACAAAAGACAGATGTCAAAAGCATTTGTAAAGAAAGTGGCTTAAAAGTTTGGGATAATTTCATTTAAGAAAAAATGGGAATAAGAGAGGACACAGTGAAAGACAGAAAATAGTGAACAGTACCTAAAGGAGAAATAGGTCTTCCTGAATAATATTTTCCTTAAAAGTACAAGTAGAGTGTGAGAGGGATTGAAAGGGAACTAATTTAAAATTATAAAAAGGAATTTGAATTTTTTGCACAGTAAATCTATACGGAATTTCAACCCTTAAATATGAGTGGTGCATAATTCAGAAGGATTCTGAGAGAATTAGAAGTAAAATATAAACTAAAGAATCCTGGGTCACATCTGTACCAGAACTTAAGGCAACTATTGAAAGTAGCTAGAAAAAAAAATGTTGATTATAAAAACATTATAAAGCACTTTTTTTCATCAGGTGTTTGGGAGCGTCTGGTGCTGGGACACCGGAGTATCACACTAACCACGTATTAGTCAGAACCAGGATGCCATGACATACATCCCCCTGAAACTAACCACTAAATTCAGGAAATTCAGTATTCACACTAATGCATCATTGCTAATTTATTTCACTACTCTTTTGTTCTCTGAAAAGCATATGAACTCAAGACAGTGTTTCAGCTTTAACATTAAATGGCTTTTGTAAGTTTAAATTTAAACTTAATCCCTTAGGGATGAATTAACAGCTCACTGAGCAGAAATTTAGGCAAGTGGCTCCCATTAACATGAGTGGAAGTCATGCAGATAGATTTATGTATGACATACTAAAGATGTGTCCATTAATTTCAATCCAAAATATTTTCCGCTTTATTATTATTATTAGCCACACACAGATAATCAGTTTTATTCTTTATTCTTCTTTGACACTTAACTCTAATTTTGTTTAAATGCCTGAGGAGGGGCTTCCTGGCATGCCTGTTTTAGAACTATGGAGCTGGTTTACTCTTTTCAAAGCCAATTTGAAACCTGCTATCTTTAACCGGAAAGCCTTAAGTTACATAACTACGGACAGAGCTTCAGACTTTATGAAATCCCCAGCACTGTTAATTTGGTTAAAAATCTCTGCCTTCTGCTGCAGGAAAATGTAGGACAGATTCAAATGCAGGTCTCAATTACTTTGATTTACTTGCAAAAGACACCAGAAGGAAATATAAAATGGTGGAGCAGAGAGGGTGTTTGCAGCAGCTGAGACTGAATCGTGCAGGCTCCAGCCCGCTTCTCTTGCCAGGCTAATTTTGCCTGACTGCTATCCTGGAGCTTCATTTATTGAGGTCCTGCACCCACCAGAGCTACTTGTTCTGCACATGGATATGCTTGTCTTCAACAGTACAAATGCAACTGGAAATCACTTAGAAGTTGTCCGGCATTTCTGAGCTACTCCGCATTTCTGGGTGAGAAAGACAGGCAGGCAATTTTCCAGAAGCGATAGGCTCCTTTTTGGCTTTGTCTTGTGGTGCCGGAGTAGCTGTATGCTGGCAGCTGTGGGGACACTAACACCCAGAGTGTTTGTTGAGAGAGAGGCTTCTAGTCCAGAGGGATTTCAAGGTTATCTTCTCCTTATGCTCTTAATGTTTTTTAGTTTCCCCTTAGTTCCTATTCAAAGCCTCACGCTGTACTCATCACCGAGTGTTCCCTCCTAGTATCACAGGACTAATAGCTATCATGTGTAGCCTTTAATTTCCCCGGGCTGTGAATGCTGCTCCAGTTCCCTGAACAGACTGTACGGCTCTTTCCTATCACGTACAATTGTAAGAAATAATGCAACAGCAGGGAAAATGAGAAAATGAGAATGTCACGGTAAGGGGTATCTTTTTCTTTATTGCCCTGGGAAATGCTAATAATGAGATCTCGGGTCTTTTTTGTAACCTGGAAGTTTGCCATAACTTTACCAAAATATTCAGCATTTTCCAGAAGTATAAGGGTTCATAACCTGAGTAAACAGACAGCTTTATGGGTGGGGTTTTTTTTGCAGGAGTCTTGTGATGCTCTGTGGTTTTCCACGGCTTCTGGGTTTGCTTGAGACCAGAGCTCACAGACAAATACTCATGACTTACCACACGGTGTCACGAACCCTGCAAACCAAACAGGCCAAATTCTGGCAGTGTCTCAAAATGTCTCTCAGGGACAGTCTACCAGAAGTGATACTGAGT